GCTCACAGCAGCACTGTGCTCAGTGTCCAAGCGCGGGAAGCCACCTAGGCATCCCTCACCAGGGGTCTGATGAAATAAATGAGGAGCAGCCACACAGTGGAATACAATGCAGCTGTACCAAAGAACAAGGACCTTCTCTATGTGCCAACATAGAAAGCTCTCCAGAATATGCTGTACGTGAAACATAAACCCAAGGAATAGAACCGTATGGACAGTATGCCACCCCACCCTTTTCTGTAAGAAAGAGGCGAGGATGTAGGTTGGACGATGCTCGTATGTGCATACATAAGCATTGGCAGGATACACCAATGGACTAATGTGGTTGCGGGTGGTGGGTGGGGAGAAGAAGCAGGGTGGAGGAGGGGCAGTCGGGGTGGACATCTTTTCAGATTGTCCCTAACATTTTCAGGACCTAGGGTAAGAATACAAATGGAGGCCCACATACTATGCATAAATATTTAAAATATGCTTTATGCTTCTACCTTACAAACATGCCTTCAGAAACCACTTGGAAGCTCAGGATGGAATTTCAAATCTGACCTCTGCACTAGATCACGGTGTGGGAGGGCCGGCCCTGTCCCTGGATTGTGGCCTTGCCCCTTTCCTTCCCACCCTCTGCCCTACACGTGTGGCCCCTCTAGCTGGCATGTCCAAGCTCCAGCGACATTGGTGCCAATAGTCACCCCTTGCACACTCCTGGGACTCGAGGGTACAGACAGGCAGTGTAGTTGGAGAACAGATCCACAGGAGACTCTCCTGCAAGTTCCTGGAATCTGGGCTTGGACAGGGAATTCCAGGATTCTGGATAATCTAGAGTGTGTCCTCAAAAGGAGGAAGACACAAGCTCCTGGTAGACATGTCCCCTCGGCCCCAAGGACTCCTCACCCCACGGGCTGGAGGAAGGCCAGGGGGGCCCAGGAGATGGGGCTTTATCTTTTACCCATGTTAATTTTTGAATCATACAATGTATTATGTATTCAAAAATCTAAAATTATATTTAAAAGCTTATGCAATTGTATAACCAAACACCTGGTGGGACTGGTTTTCTGGATTTGAAGGATTAGGACCATAGTCTCATGGAACATCTTGATCAACTGGCATAATACAGTTCATAAAGG